GTTTCATATAATCGATTTTGAGCTAATTTGTGAAGTTCGAGCAAATTGGGAAGTTTGGTTAGTGTTTCGAATTTGCAAATTATCAATTTCAAATCGAATTTGAGCAAATAACTTATTATAGTTGAAGCAAAAGGACATTCTTTTAGCTTAGCTGAAATGTTTGTTGTTCACATTGCCGCCATTAACCACCTCAAATGTCAAATAAGCTTCTCTAGAAGGAGAGATCAACAATTTTTATTCTTATTTCTAGAATAAAAAATTGTGGTAATTTTTTGTTCGTTTGAAAGTGGAGTTAGTCTCGTGACGACGGTAAGAGTTTGTTTTTCATATGCGGACCCAATTGATATTGTTGTCTATTGAGTAAAAGTTCGTGTTTTGTTCTTTTGAATCATTACAAAAATGAGATTATTTTTGTCATATATATATATATATAATAAATTGATCTAGAGTGGAAAAAGCCCAAGGATCATATCTCTGGGCCTTAGGCCCAGACTCTGTAGCATAGGCCATTTTGCCTTTCTCAGCCATGGAGATAAAGCAAAAGCTGAGCCCACTCATTTTCAAACATCGACTGATGGTACATCTTGAGACAAATAAGTTCGGTGATCCGACCTAGCTTATTTCATAAGGATACTTGTACAGGCGTCGTCACCCGAAATTATGTACACATTTGCACATAGGCCATGTTTTTTCCCATCTCTGATTTGAGGTTCCTCCAACCCTTCATCTAATTGGTACTTTGCACATACGAGTTATAAGTGACGGACGTTATGGCCTTTTGCATGATTGGAGGAAAAAATAGCCCTTTTATACATTTGGAATCGGTTGCATGTCTTTTTCATGGAGAATTCTTTCCACTGGCTGTGGTATTAGTACATATTAGGGCCGGCAAAATGGGTCATGTACCCATTTTATAACTCAGTTTTAGGAAGCCCATATCTATTTGGGTAACTCACTTTTCTAAAAAATGGGCTCAAATGGGTTAGAGAATATATAATGCCCAAAAAATGGGTTAAAATATGGGTCACCAGCTGACCCATATTTTAACCCATATTTTCTAAACCCACGACCCACGTTACCTGCTCAGGCACCCATCCACGAACGACGCTTCGCTCCCAACCTACGCTTCTTGTTGGCCGCTCGCCGCGCTTCCTTCGCCACTCGTCGCTCGCCGCCTTGGCCTCTTGCCGCGCTTCGCTGCCACTCGCCGCACTTTGCCCCTCGTCGTTCGTCGCCTTGGCCGCTCGCCGTGCTTCGCCGCTCGTCGCTCGCCGTCCTTCGCCGCTCGTCGCGCTTCGCTTTGTCTCCGTTTCCCTCCTCTTCACCACAGGGAGGAAGAACTTACTTCAAGCGCTGGGGTTTCGGCATGCTCACGAAGGTAATGTATTCGTTCGGATTTTCATGGTTTTTCTTGGGGGTTTTTGTGCTTGTGTCTGCTCGTCGCCCTGCCACCATAAGTTCTACGATAGTGTCCTAAAATAGCCGAGAGGGTTGATTGTGATAGAATAGAGGGTGGATCATGGCTGCATCTTGAGTACTGCATCTTGTGGGTTTTTTGTTGACATGGTATGAGCTATACACATGTTGCGCGACTTAAGCCAGATTCAGGGGAAGCTCAATTGATTGACCCATCTGCCTATGACTTCATGTGTGAGTAGATGCTATGCTTATTTGGTGTATCTTCTTGTCTACATACTATGTTTCATCCTATCCAGTGCATTACGACACAAGGGACACTTAGAATTGTTGTACTGGCTTGGATTTTCAATTTGAAGCAATTTTTCTTATGTGCTTACTGGCTGTGCGAGGCTGCTCGGTTGTGTACGTATAGTTGCAAATTGATCTGTGGAAGTAGTGCGCATTTTGTCACAAAAGGAAGCTGAACGAACTCTCCGATGCATGCTCTTCTTCCAAATCTCTTCATTCTTTATGTTTGTATGTCACATAGCAATAGAGAGGTCCTTCCTTTCTTACCCATTCTCCTACACATAATGTGTGGATTTCGAACTACAATTGCAAATTTTTATAGTGGCGCCATTCTACTGGAAAAATTTCTGACTTTGTTGAGAGATTGGGGCATTAAAAGGAAGATTTTCAGTATTACGTTAGCTAATGAATCATATAATGACAGTATGGTTGATATTTGGAAAAATACGCCTTCTATGAGATCCTCTTTGTTATGTGGTGGGCAGTTTTTTCATGTGTGTTGTGGGGCGCATATTAGAGATTCTGTCAAATATGTGAGATCTACACAAGGGAGACGAGTAAAATTTGCTGAATGTATATCACAATCATGCTTGGAGACGGGTAAAAAGGTACGTCAAGATGTGGCTACTAGATGGAACTCTACGTATCTAATGCTTGAAGGTGCTTTGGTCTTCGAACATGCATTTTCCCATTTGAAGTTAATTGATTGTAACTTTCTCACATGTCCATCACCTGACGATTGGGTTAGAGCCAAGAAAATTGCATTCTTGCTACAACGTTTTTATGATATTTCCACTCTCTTCTCTGGAGTTAGATATCCCACGGCGAATTTGTATTTCTATGGAGTATGGCAGATCCGGTTTCGTTTGATAAAGGCGAAGAGTAGTGAGGATGTAGCTATTAGATCTATGGCTATAGCAATGCTAAAGAAGTTTGAAAAATATTGGAAGTGTTATAGTGTTGTCTTATCTTTTGCTGCAATATTAGATCCTCGCTATAAGTTACACTTGTTAGAATTTTGCTATTCGAAGTTGGACATGGATGATCACGTGGAATATGTACGGAGCATTCGAGAAAGGCTCCATATGCTTTTTGATGAATATGTGACCTCTACGTCGAGAGATGATCGCTTTACATCTTCAACTAGTCGAGGTAACATTTTAGTTGAGGACATCGTTGATAACATTGGGGATAATCTTGATGAGTATGACGCATTCGAGAGTGAACACTTTGGCTCGCAATCTACTAAGTCACAATTGGATTTGTATTTGGAGGAGAATAGGCTTGATAGAAAAAAATACCCGGATCTCAATGTCCTTGATTATTGGAAAGCTCATTCACATCGGTATCCCGAGTTATCTCTCATGGCCCGTGATATATTGAGCATTCCTATCACTACCGTTGCCTCAGAGTCGGCCTTTAGCATTGGAGGACGCATTCTAAATAAATATCGTAGTTCCCTTTCGCCTGAAAATGTAGAGGCCGAGCTGTGCACTAGAGATTGGTTATTTGGAATTCCACTTGAGGAAGATTTCGATGACGAGTCTCTCATTGTCGACTTTCAAGACTATTTGCATTAGGTACTTTCTTTTATCTCATTCTCTTGGTTTACTCACGTGATTTAATGCAATTGATTGGCTAGAAGATGTGTGTATATACTTTCTTTTATCTCATTCTCTTGGTTTCCTCCTTCTTGTTTCTCATCTCAGGTTCGAAAGTTTCACTCACCATGATAATTTGTTTGTCGCACCGAGGCTTCTGAATCGAGCTTTCGTGGACGTGTTTTTGGTTAAGTTTTTGGTTGGAGTGTTTGTAGGGGGTTGTGTTCAAAACCTGGGTGGATGTGAATGTAGTATGCGTTGATGATCAGGTCAAAAAGCAGGGGAAACAAGCTGATACCACGTAGCTCCGAGCTCAACCAGATGCTAAATCTGTAGATGCTTCCCCAAGATCACTGATTTGATCATCTTCTATGCCTATATGTTTGTGCCGCACAACAGACTCATGGGAGTCTTCTATTTCTCTAGTTCCCCCATGTGCAGGAAGTTGGTTATCAGTCATGTTCACATGATGAGAGGCACAAGTTTCATTCAAGAAACCTTGGTTCTGGCAGGAGTGCTTCTGTAATGGATGTTAAAGTGCTCCCATTCTCTTTTGATAGATTTTTCTTTGGACTTACCATATTGACATCAAGTACTTCATTTCCTGGTTCACAATCCGTTGTCCATCTTAAGGATGGAGTTTTTATTATTTAATTTGTTTTTTTAATTTGATGTGGAGTTTTTATTCTAATAACATATACATGTGAAGAGGTTAAAGTGAATTAAATGGATGGGTATGAGTTTTCCTAAAATATTAATGTGTTCTAGTAATATGGGTCGGGTCGGGTTCGGATCGGGTATGGGTCGGGTCAAGTATGGGTTACTATATTTGCATTGCATGAAAATGGGTCAAAACGGGTTAAATAGGTCGATCCATATTCGACCCGACCCAAACCTGATCCGACCCACCCGTTTGACGGGTGTAGTACATATTCATTTCAAAATGCCGAAGTTAGTATCAAACACCTAAACAAAATAAAAGGAAAAACGAAAAACCATGAGTGCGTTGGAGAAAAGTCGATATTGGGAAAAGTAGAGCGAGCTGCACTCACCCGACGTAACTTCAGACGATAATAGCCGCCAGAAGTTACCACCAGTCAAGGTCCGAAAATGAGTGGGCCCATATTTTGCTTGGGCTCCACGTCTGAGAAAGGCAAAATGGCTTATGCTACTGATCATGGGCCTAAGGCTAAGAAACATACTTTGAACCTATAAACATAGTCCTTGGGCTTTTTCTCACTCCATATCAATTTATTTAGGAATAATGATACAAACCGATGTACAATGTGGTCCCTAAATATTTAAATTGTTCAATATAGTTTTAAAGCTTGTTTCGAAAGTTCAATTGAGTTATAAAACTTAATCAAGTCCTAAAATTTTCGAAAAATGCAATCGAGTCCTAAAACTTGTTAAGTTGGTGTAATTAAGTTCTAAAACTTGTTAGTATTTTTCATTTGTTGACAAGTTTTAGGACTTGATTATACTTTTTAAAAGTTTTAAAACTTAATTGTATTTTTGTGATAAATTTTAATTTTTTTATCGGTCAGACAAATTTTAAGATTTGATTAGACTTTTTTTTTTTTAAAACTTTTAATGCGCTTTGTCGGCAAGATGTAGATCCACTAAAAGCAAAGGGCCGGTGAGCATATAAATGCTCAATGAAGTCCACCCCGTTCGCAGTTCGCAGTGGCAGTTCCATGCAAAGCAACAAAACAGAAACAAAATGACTCGCGAAGCGAAGAGAACGACGGTTTTGGAAGTGGGCGATGATGGAGTCGCTCTCATCACCATCGTCAACCCTCCTGTCAATGCTCTCACTGCCAACAGTACATCCTCTGATCCCTTTCCAACATTCTTTTTCTTTCCTTTGTGGGTGTGGTGTTTCTTCGTGTTTTTCAGTTGCTTGTTGTGGATACAGTGATTTCGAGGTGATTATGGGCGATGATCAACTGACCTTGCTCTTGTCAACTGGCTTGAGCTTTTTAAGTTTTGGTTGAGAATGGCATACATTTCTTGGGCTCCCTTTGCTTGCAGTCAAAGTTTCGTTTCTGCCATGGAATGATAAGTTGAAGCACTTGGGGGCGCTTGTTCCCTATATGTGTCATATGGAAATATTCAGATCATGCCCGGTTGGAGTAAGCGTATTGCAATATATGTCGCGTGAAAAGTTCACTGAAAGTCCCGAACCGTTTGTCCGGAGTCTAACTAAGTCCCGAATCATTCAACTGGTGCTTTCGAGTTGTGAACTTTTTACCAAAAATGCCAAATCAAAACTGTCCTTTGCAAATCGCACACTCGGCAGAAGAAAATTTCCTGTGTGGCCAGAGGTTGCCGCGTGGTAGCAATTGGGGAAGTGATGAGTGAAATGGTGTGATTACAACTTATTCAGAGAAAAGATTTGGGACTTGATCGTGACGATTGAAAGGTTCGGACTTGATTGCACTACGTGTGCAAGCTTCGGAAATTCTAGTGTACTTTTTCCCGTTTGTCCTGGGGTTTGATCAAGTACTGTAGGAAGCGAGTGTCGGAAGAATTGACTAACCTGTTCGATGCACTACGAACAAAATTTTCAGGATCGTACGTTGAATCACCAGCAAACGATGAACGAATCTACTTCAAGTTGGTCTGAATACAATCACAGGGAAAGTATTTTTATTCCACAGCGTCAATGCCGATTGTCTTCTCAAAATAGATACGGAATCCTTATGCGTCGAGAGAGAGAGAGAGTTCTGAATATCTGGTTCATCTACTGAGGAAGTTATCTTAACTTCCCTTAAGAAAATCTCATCGCATCTTTTCAAAAGGTGTCTCTTAGACACACTTTTTATTAGAGCAAATGGTGTCCCTTGGACACACACACATCATGGGCGGACCGATGAAATATAACATTTCCTACTTGCACATGATGGGCTTGATGATACTCTATCAAGAACATAAGACATTCAACATTCATCTACCTTAGAAACAATTCATACCGGCAAGAAAGCCGTGCGACCAGTGAGTATACCTGCACTTGGGAGCTCTAATTATGCACCTGTTAAGGACAACATAATGGCTACAATCCCAAAAATAAATAAACAATTGATGTCTCACGGTGCCCCAGACATATTTTGTTACATCAGTCCAAGTATACCTATCCCTTAAAGGCTATACTTGACTTTTCTCAAGAACACAATGTATTTACAATTATTTCCGAAGCCATTAAAGGTGAAATAATTGGTCGACCGGTAAACACATGTGATAGATGTAAAACAACAATAGTCTTCCTTCGTACTCATGTCTCTCTTCATTTCAGAACAATTGCTTTCCTAGACACATTCCATAAAGCCATATCTATTCATGACCGCTGGTAACATGCTAAAGTAGCAACATTGATCTTCTACTTCGAGAACATAGTAAGAAGTAACATAGGACACAAAGTAAGGTAAATTATAAATTACCTTAAGGACTCATACGATGAATAAATAGGGATAATTGTACTCATCTCCCCTATTGGTCAAATAAAGCACATGTAGTATGAATAGCTATAGTGGATTTCTCTTTCTATAAGAGCGCATGTCATTTATTAATCATATCCACTATACGAATCTTAGCCTAAACATAGTCACATGCTTCTCACGTACTCATGTTTAGCCCAAGTGCTATATCAACTCGCTTTCCACAGCGCCCAATTTAGTACTCGCATCTGGCTACCTTCAGGCATACATGATTGTGGGACTATCATGTTCGGTCTTATCACATACGAATAACAGACCTCATCTTGATTCCAATCATGCTGACATTAAATCGTTTTATGTACTAAACTGCTCTTCCGGCATTTATAGTACATATCGTCTCATCTCAACCCGCTTACTATAGCGTTTGAGGTGATTGCTCGTGTGAGTGAGCCAATCATTGCCTGGGGACATACCTTTCAACAATATATGTGTGTTTGTGCTAGTCTCAAAACATTGTACTAATTGATAAAACATCAATTCATTAACAAACAAGTACAATACATATACACACATAATCCAGTGATCCTCAACAATATTACATATCATAATCACATTCTATAAAATCCTAGAGACATCCTGTGGGTCAAAAACACGTCTCTTGGAACAGCCTTCGTAAATGGATCATCAACCATCCTGTTGGTTGAAATTTATTGCAAGACTACTTCCTTCTGTGTTATTATATCTCTGATGAAGTTATTCTTTATGTCAATGTGCTTCGTCCTACCAAGGTACTTAGGATCTTTCACATAGGTAATGGCTGCTTGACTATCGCAATATACTGTCACTGGTCTTGGGACATCAGTGACAATGGCTAAATTTTCCAAGAAACGTTTTAGCCATACTGCTTCTTGCACTGCAGCAGAACATGCAATAAATTCTGCCTCCATCGTAGATAAAGCTATGCATGTCTGTTTCTTGCTCCATCATTAAGCAAGAACGCATATCCAAACGTCGATTTATGCTCATCTAGGTCTCCTCCCCAATCAGCATCAGAGTATCCTAATAAGCGTAGATCACTCTCTTGATAGCAAAGTCGATAGTTGATAGTGCCTTTCAAGTATCTCGGGATCCTCTTAACTGCTTTCCAGTGTGCTGGACCAGGATTTGATTGATATTGGCTCACTAACCCCACAGAATGACATATGTCGAGTCGAGTACACATCATAGCATACGTCAAACTTCCGACAGCACTAGCGTAAGGAACAGTTACCATTTCTTTCTTTTCTTCTGGAGTCTTAGGACACATCTTAGTACTCAGGCCTTCGCCTTGCATGACAGGGGTATCAATGGGATTACAGTGCTGCATATTGAAGCGTTCAAGAATCTTCATTATATAAGACTCTTGTGACATAGCAAGAAATTTCTTTGATCGATCCCTTTCAATCTTAACTCTCAATATATATGCAGCTTCTCCCATGTCCTTCATTTCAAAATTAGAGGACAACCATTCTTTTATGGTTACAACCAAACCCTTGTCATTCCCAACCAACAGAATATCGTCCACATAAAGAGATAAAATCATAAATTTATCCTCGGACCATTTGATATACACACAGTGATCCTCTTCGATTATCGTGAACCCAAAAGAAGTTATGGCTCGATGAAAACGAAAGTACCACTGTCTAGACGATTGCTTAAGGCCATAAATTGAGCGATGAAGTTTGCAAACTTTACGCTCTTGACCTTCAGCAATGAAACCTATCGGTTGCTTCATATAGATTTCTTCATCTAGTTCTCCATTGAGAAATGCTGTCTTTACATCCATTTGATGTAATTATATGTCCAAATGTATAACAATGGCTAGGATAAGACGTATGGAGGCAAACCTTACAACTGGTGAAAAATTTTCCTCATATTATATACCCTCTTGTTGAGTATAGCCTTTCGCCACGAGGCGAGCCTTATATTTTTCAATGGATCCATCTGCCCTTCGCTTAATCTTGAAAATCCATTTGTTTCCAATAGCTTTGCTATCAGGTGGTAGATCAACCAAGTCCCAGACATGGTTTGTCCTCATAGACTCAATTTCGTCTTCCAAAGCTTTTCTCCATTCTTCCTTATCAGGAGATGAGAGAGCCTCTTGAACTGTTTTAGGCTCCGCATTGTCTTGTGGAGCAATCATAAATGCTTCCCCTTCAATCTCAAATCGACGACGGGGAATACTTTTACGATTACTTTTACGCAACTGAACTTTTTGAGAATTCAGTTCGCTAGGCAACGCTATACTCCCACTAGGTCTTGTATGTTGAGGTAAATCTGTATTTCCCTCAATAACATTAGTGGGTGAGTTATCGGGATCTTCCATCTCATGTAATTGGAAGTCCTTATTGATCTCACCTCTACTAGGAAAATCATTCTCCAAGAACGTGACATCTCGTGACTCCATTTCAGTCATACTTCCATCAACTTATTCACCTATGAACACGGACCCTTTGGAGTGTTCAGAGTATCTAATAAAGATACACTTCTTCCCTCTAGGGCCTAATTTGTTATATTTTTGGGAAGAATCATGAACATATGCTGCGCACCCCCAATGTCGTAGATTACTTAAGTCTAGTTTTCTATCAATCCACAATTCATAAGGGGTGGAAGCAACTGACTTAGAGGGCACACGATTAAGTATATAGGCAGCAGTCAATAACGCATCTCCCCAATATGAGACAGGTAGATTTGCCTGCACCATCATAAACCTAACCATTTCCAATACGGTTCTATTCCTTCTTTCTGCAACCCTATTTTGTTGCGGAGTACCAGGAATAGTTAATTGTCTTACAATTCCCCCTTTTTTTTTTTTATCACAAAGAGCCTTGAATTGCTCAGATAGATACTCACATTCGCGATCGGTTCTCAATGCCTTTATTGTTTTGTTCAACTGATTCTCTACCAAAGCTATAAACCGCCTAAAGCAATCCAATGCTTCGGACTTATGGAAGATCAGAAAAACATAACCGAAACGCGTGAAGTCATCTATAAAAGTGATGAAATATGAGGTTCCATGCCTCGCCCTCACATTTAAAGGACCACAAATGTCAGAATATATAAGTTGCAATGGAAGTTCAGCTCTGGTTCCTTTACCAAATGATTTTCTAGTTATTTTTCCCGCTAGACAATGTTCACATACGGGTAGTTTAACATTAGCGAGTGACCCCAAAAGGCCTTCTCTTGCTAATCGTTTCATTCTTTATAACCCAATGTGACCCAGTCTAGCATGTCGAGTACTTGCATCAATCTCCACATTACTAGAAGATGCAATTAAAGAAAAACAATCATCAACATTAACTTTGTACACATCATAGTCAATGTCTAACACCATAAAATCATTCAATACATAACCAGAACCGTAGTAAACTGTTCTAAACAAAATATCAACACAAACACCATGAAAATTAAATACATAACCTGAGCCAAGAAGAACAACTACATAGACCAAGTTTTGCCAAATATCTGGAGCATAGAGGACATCATGTAGGAATAGGTTTCGACTACCACGAAAGGTTAATTTACATGTGCCGATATCCTTCACTTCAACTCTTGAGTTATTTCCAACATATATCCATCTTCTTCCAGGCTGTATCCAACGATACTCCACAAATGCTCCTCGATCTCTAGCTACGTGGTTTGTTGCTCCTGAGTCTACAGTCCACATTGGATGAGATTTAGCAAGCATTACAATGCTAGAAACAAAAGCATTACTCAAAGTAATGGAGTAATATGGTACCTTTTTCGGCTCAGTGCATTCACGAGCGAAGTGGCCCAATTTACCACAATTGTAGCACATCATCTTGGTCTTGTCCTTCTTCCCGCCACGCTTCTTGCGTCGGAAAGTCTTGACTCTCTTGGGTGCCTGATCAGTCTCTTTTCCTTTGTTGTTGAATTTATGGTTCCTCTTGCGCTTAAAGCCCGAAGCTTTGCCCGAACTTGATTCAACAACATAAGCATGGGTAGAGGATTTTGCAACCTCTAGGCGCTCATCTTCTAACTCCAAATGACGCGCAATATCGTCAAAAGTGACGATATTCTCATTGTGCGTCATATTGATTTTCATATGTTCCCAGCTGTTAGGAAGAAACCTTATAACAGCTTGAACTTGTTGTTCGTCAGTTAAGGTATGATCTGCCGACTTCAGTTCACGTATCATGTTTGACATCTCCCGAAGATGCTGCCTCATTGATAGATTTGAGTGCTTCCGGTATGTGTCAAATTTGATGGTGAGCCTCCTCAACTTAGTGGCAGACGTACCCCCAAACTTATTTTTCAAGGCAACCCACATTGCTTGAGCTTTGTCATAACTTTCAAACTCACACATGAGATCATCTTGCATATAACTCAGCAACGTGATGCGAGCAATGCTATTTTTCTTTTTCCAAGCTTGAAAAGCTTCTTGATCTCTTTTGTGTTAAGCAAAAGTTGTTGAGCAGAAGTTCCATGCTCAGGTTCATCTATGGTGTGGTTGAGGGTTTCCAAAACCTCTTACTCCTCAAGGATATATTGAACTTTTCGGTGCCAAATATCATAATTGTCACCGTTAAGCTTCTCAACCTTATTGAGGTCAGCCACAATGGTCTTGGATGCCGAAGCCATAATTACTATATAGGCAAAAGTACATCAGAAGTGCCATAACTTGTGTACGACGATCACTTTGGTGCTATAACTTTTTTTCGGATCACTTTGGTGCCAAGTCGGAGGAAAATAGATCACTTTAGTGCCAATTTGGCCGGAAATCCGACGTGGCATTTTTTATTAATTTTTGACGCCGACGTGGCTCGCCGGAGGATGAGTCAGCGTGTACGGTCAGCATTTTTATTTTAAATAATTTTTTTCCAGCGTGTACTGTCAGCATCTTTTATTTTAAATATTTTTTTTTCTTTTTTTTTTCCTCATCTTTCCTTTTTCCGTTTTCCTTTCTTTTCTCCCCTCGCCGGTCGGCCACCGGCGAAGCCCGAGAAGGGCTGGGCGAGGGCGGCCTTGCCCATGGTCGGCGAGGGACGGCCTCGCCAAATCTGGGCGAGGCGACCCTTGCCAGTGACAGGCGAGGCCGCCCCTCGCCGGATCTGGCGAGGGCGACCCTCGCCGGCGTCGGGTGTGGGAAGCCCTCGCCTGGGCGGGCGAGGGTCGCCCACGCCCGACCCTCGCCGGCGTTGGGTGAGGGTCGCCCACGCCCGACCTCGCCGGGCGTCGGGCGAGGGAAGCCCTCGCCCGGGCGGGCGAGGGTCACCCACGCCCGACCCGGGTGAGGGCGTCGGGCGGCCCTCGCCGGCGTCGGGCGGCCCTCGCCGGCGTCGGGCGAGGGAAGCCCTCGCTTGGGCGGGCGAGGGTCGCCTATGCCCGACTCGGGCGAGGGCGGCCCTCTCCCGCCCGGGCGAGGGTCGCCCACGCCGACTCGGGCGAGGGCGGCCCTCGCCCGCCTAGCCGAGGGCTTCCCTCGCTCGACGCCGGCGAAGGTCGCCCTCGCCGATCCGGGCGAGGCAGCCCTCGCCCGGGCCGGCAAGGGGCGGCCTCGCCTGTCGCCGGCGAGGGTCGCCTCGCCCAGATCTGGCGAGGCCGCCCCTCGCCGACCATGGGCAAGGCCGCCCTCGCCCAGCCTTTCCTGGGCTTCGCCGGTGGCCGGCAGGCGAGGGGAGAAAAGAAAAAAAAGAAAAGAAAGGAAAAAGAAAAAAGGAAAGAAGAGGAAAAAAAAATTATTTAAAATAAAAAATGCTAACTGTACACGCTGGAAAAAAATTATTTAAAATAAAAATACTGATTGTACACGCTGACTCATTCTCCGGCGAGCCACGTCGGCGTCAAAAATTAATAAAAAATACCACGTCGGATTTCCGGCCAAATTGGCACTAAAGTGATTTCTTTTCCTCCGACTTGGCACCAAAGTGATCCGAAAAAAAGTTATGGCACTAAAGTGATCGCCGTACACAAGTTATGGCACTTCTGGTGTACTTTTACCTTACTATATACTACACATTGACATAATAAACGCAGAATCAATACTAGCACATTTTCCACATAAACACACATATTTTAATTTGCAGCAAAGACAAACTATATTAATGATAATTCAACAAAAGACACTAAAACGAAAGTTCACGATGTTCCTAATCAGTTTCGGCATACGATTGTTCTACTATCATTAACTTGTTTAATTTGTGCAAATTTTAAGTTCTAGGTGAGAATTTCTTATAATTCTACCAACCTACGAACTCCCACTAGAAAAGATAATTCACAAAAAATATTTAAAACAATGATCACATCATTTCTAGCAATCATATAGCATGGCATGATGTAAATCAACAAATAGAATATTCATGCAACAAATATAATCAGCAGCGGAATTCATGACGTAATGAAAAAATAAGGATCTTCAGCCATTGTTCGAGTATGCTCATAACTAGGGAATTGCAAGCATGATAGACCATACACATGTTATCATCGAACTAAGCTCTACACAATCTCTATGTGGTCATTTACATGTAAGCCAACTTCTGTATTTCCAAAACCATAGGAAAATACAAGTAAAATGCAATAATACTCCAAAAATACACGTATTTAGGGTTCCGTATGCATTTTCATACCTTTAAAAGCTTTAAACATATAAAATAACTATACCACAATGTAAAGAATTTGAATACGAATACAACCGTACCAACCACGCTCCAATCGGAGCTCCCACGCGCCCACACGCGCCGCCTAAGTGAGCGGCGTGTGTGGCGCACGTGCCTGCCCAATACGGGCTTCTGAGCCGGTCCGACCGGTTCGATCGTTGACCGGTCAACTGGTTGGGTCGGTAACTGGGTCGGGTCTTCGGGTCGGGTCGAGTTACCGGATGGGTTGGGTTTCTCGCCGGCCGGTCGCCGGAGGTTGGTTCTCCGGCGTGATGACGTCAGCGTGTTGTTACCAACAGTTTTGCTGACGTCATTGATGACGTCAGCACACGCGCGCGTGCCATTCACGCGCTAGTAGTGCCAGTTCTTTGGGCGCGTGGCTCTCATGCGCCGCGGCTTCTGGCCGCGCGTGTGGGCGCGTACGGCGTCTTCCGGCGGCGTTCGACCCACCGTTCTGCTCGTCTCGACGAGTTCTTCAACTGTATATAATAAAAAAATGATTTTCACCTTAAAAAGTTTTTTGAAAATCATTCGAATAGAACGGTTGCCTGTAACCTTCAAACCCGTTTTTCATTTCAATTCATGTTCGACGATTCATCTTGCAATTCCCCGAGCAATGAATATGCAGACAGTATGAAGTTCATCATCATGATCTCCATATCAAACAGCAAGCGGAAAAAAAAAACGGGAAAACAAGGCAGAGATCATAACCGAAGCTCTGATACCAATGTAAGAAGCGAGTGTCAGGAGAATTGACTAACCTGTTCGATGCACTACGAACAAAATTTCCAGGATCATACGTTGAATCACCAGCAAATGATGAACAAATCTACTTCACGTTGATCCGAATACAATCACAGGGAAAGTATTCTTGTTCCACAGCGTTAATGCCGATTGTCTTCTCAAAATAGATACGAAATCCTTATGCATAGAGAGAGAGAGAGAGAGAGAGAGTTCTGAATATCTAGTTCATCTACTGAGGAAGTTATCTTAACTTCCCTTAAGAAAATCTCCTCGCACCTCTTCAAAAGGTGTCTCTCAGACATACTTCTTATTAGAGCAAATGGTATCCCTTGGACACACACACATCGTGGGCGGACCGACGAAATATAACAAGTACGGTAAACTTGAGTTGAAATTGCTGCAGAAGAGATAATGTTAAAACTCATACACTTCCACTTAGCAGCGAACATCTCACTGATTTTGAACATTAGTGGACAGGAAGCTGCTGTTACAGCAGAGTATTAGGGATATAGTTGTACCTGCTATATATTAATGTGGCGCAACTTCTGACCTTCGTTCACTTTCACTAAACTCTCTGTTTGGTTGCTTCATGTTGGCACATTTCTACTCTGCCGTTTACTGTGCTTTTAACAGGCATTTTCTCTTCTTCCTTTTTTATGCCTTTAGGATATGTATTTCTGCCAAAGTTCAGATAAACATTTTATCTCTATAATAGCTGTAAACGTGTAGTAACTGATCTCTTCCTTTGCCTTTCCCAGTATTCCGCAGCTTAAGTGAGAGCTATGAACAGGCTTTGGTGAGAGAAGATGTGAAAGCAATTGTAGCGACGGGTATTCATCAGAGTTCTTTTTCCCTCTTGCATATCTTGCATCCAGAAGGATTGAAATGCTGCGACAATTCTTTTCTGGGACAGGTGCAAAAGGCATTTTCTGTGGGGGCTTTGACGTTAGCGGTTTTTGTGGGCAAAGACGCAGGGAAGGTATTTTACTTGCATGTTTGTTTCGTATTCTATTAGTTGACTCTGGATTACATTATCATGTCCTTTTCTTTGTCTAATTCTGGCAGAACAAACAAAGCCTGGTTATACACCAGTTGATTTCTTCACTGATGCAGTTGAAGGTATGTGCTTGACTTTTATTGCTTTCTACTCCACTTATTGCTTATTCAATCGTGTGTTTTCTTTTTAGCGGCTAAGAAGCCTTCTGTTGCTGCTATTGACAGCATCGCTTTGGGTGGAGGATTAGAACTCGCTATGGTGCTAATACCTTTTAGTTTTTTTTTTTTTTTTTGGTGACCCAGGGAACCCCCGCACGGCCGACAGCCGGGAAGTAAACTCTGGGGGCGACACGTGCTATTATAGATGAGATTTTCATTTATGGGTTTAGAACATTATTTTTCAGTTGTCAATTCTCAGTTTTTCTCAATCAGGCATGCCATGCAAGAATATCGACTCCTACCGTGCGATTAGGCCTCACTGAACTTCAGTTCGGTGTCATTCCTGGACTTGGAGGTATTGCCATAATTCAAGTCGAGCATTCTCTGCATTATTGTATTCAAATATGGGTTTGACTAGGCATGCTGTATATCATCTGTAAGGTGAATGTCAACGCAATACTTCATGACCCGAATCAGCTTCTCTTCACTAATTTTAACAGAATAAGGGTGCGCATGGCAACGATTCTGTGCTCGAGAACTAATTCTGCTTGAAATGATTTTTTTTTATTCCGTGTCCGGGAATAATTTCTAAGCATTTGAAGACATTTGGTAACTGCCCAAAATTTCTATTCTTAGAATAGAAAAAGAATAGAAATACGTTTGGTAACTACACAAAATTTCTTTTTATTAATAATATTTTAAATATTTTAATATTTATTTCTCTTTTTTTTTTTCTTTTTTTTCCTTGGCCATGGCCGGTCCGGCGACAACCAGCCACAGGCCAGGGCCAGCGAGGGCGTCGCGGTCCTCGCCGCCGGCCTCGCCTGTCGCGACGGCGAGGTCGGCTTCGCCTTGGCCAAGCGAGGCTCGACCTCGCCCAGATCTGGTGAGGCCGACCTCGCCGTCACCACCCCCGGCGACGGCTAGGTCGGCCTCGCCAGATGACGGCGAGGTCGAACCTCGCCCGGCCAAGGTGAGGCCGACCTTGCCGTCGCCGAGGGCTGGCGAAGCCGACCTCGCCGGCCCTGGCCGGTCGCTGGTGGTCGGTCGCCGATGGCAGACCGAGAAGAAGATGAAGAACAAATAAAAAAGGAAGAAGAAAATCAAGAAGAATCAGAAATGGAAAAATTGTTCCAGAATTAAGAAGCTACTTTTTTTTTGCTTCTTGAATCTGTTTCAAAACTGATTCTGAGAACAATTTTTTGCAAATTTGTGCCCGGACACAAAAATTTTAACAAACGGATTTCTGTTCCCAAACTGATTCTGGGAACAAAAGAACAGAAATTATCACTATTTGGCAAGTTACCAAACACCCTCTAAACATTATTTCTTTTAAACATGTTCAGTTATTTTTTTAATTGTTTAAGTTCATGCAATTCTCGAATGTGAACTGAGATCGGGTGCAGATGATGTTATTATTGCTCTTGATAATTATCTGACTCCACATTGGTTTTTGGTACTTCTAATCAGTGAATAATAGATGAATTGCAGCAAAATCAGTTCACAATATGCTGCATAATGCTGTTTTTTTTCACTGGCATGTTGCCCCAAGGAATGTAAGGTCCTCATTTTAGTGACTCGTGCTAAGGTATCGTCATGTTAGCTAAGCTCAAAGTTCCAGGTTACTGAAGTTGCATATGAAGTTTTTTTTGGCCGTGCATATGAAGGTAGTTGGAAACTTAGAAATAGCCAACATGTCAAGGTGCAGATAACTGGTTTTCTATGCCTATAGTGCCAAATTCTGAGTTTTCCATATCCATCATACTCGAGTTATGTACCATTTCTTTGGTGTTTTCCCTTCTGGGACCTCAGTAATTTCGTTGGAGTTTTAGCCATTGAGCAAGGGACCTAAGCAGTAACAGAAGAAGCATTGGGTAATGGAAGTGTTTATCCAAACCTGGAGTTGGGATAGATGTGTACGATAACACGAAGTCCATCTGTATTATTTGTTTCTTTGAATTCAAACCAAGTTACTGCTCGATCTATTTTGCGCGTTGGTAATCTAGTGCCACATCATGCGTGGATCTTGACTGAGAGCTCGGGACATTTATGTAGCATACTTGTATCAGTCTGATCAAGTGCTTTTAGTTCTTAAGGTGTGGCATTAGGCTATTTGAGGATGATAGAGGCCTAGATACTAACCGCTTACCCTATGTCTCTGAATAAAGATTAGTATCTGTTCTTTTCACCATTAAATTTCTCTATTGTTTGTGTTGGACGTGAGTGTCGGGAGAATCGACTAACCGGTTCGATGCACTATAAACAAATTTTCCAGGATCGTACGTTGAATCACTAGTGAACGATGGACAAATCTACTTCACGTTGATCTGAATATAATCACGAGGAAAATATTCTCGTTTCACAGCGTTAATGCCGACTGTCGTCTCAAAGTTGATACGGAATTCTTAAGAAACTCTCATCGCACTTCTTCAAAGGTGTCTTTCAGATATACTTCTAATTAGAGTAAATGGTGCCCTTTGAACACACTCATCATGAACGAACCGATAAAATATAACATCTCCGTAATTTGAATTGGCAATCTTATTGCCGTCAAAAGTATTGCAACAAGCCATAATTCCATTACTGAAAACAGCAATACAAAGGACAGGAGATAATCATGATGATGAAGCAGGGGCAATGATACCAAAACCCCGTAACGTAATACGTTGTAACGAGAGATGTCTAGTTGAATAAGAACAGATTAGGTTTACAAGATACATGGTTGAAGCCTGCAGTCGCCTGAGTCTAGAACCCTAGGACTTAGTGAAGAGGATGATTGGTCAAGACATTGCCACGGGGGGTCCTGAGCTAGCAGGAGAGGCAACAGGCTAAAGATATACGCTGTCTGTCTGGCTCTACAAGTCCCTCTCTGCGGAAACAACAGGAGTAGACTGTCAAGCTGGTTGTCCACCAAACGCCAGTGAGTGATCATACATCCCCATCAAAAAGTCTTGGACTCTTGATATTTCTTGGGCTTAAAGTTGCTTTATATTACTACAGACGGAATAAACTCAAGAATACTAGCCTGTCATCCCTTTTGTTCCTGCAATACGAGCCTTTTCAATCCAAGAAGCAGAAAATAGCCGGCACTTCAACGCTTGCTGGAGTTATGAACATTGATCAACGTAAAATGAATGCCTTATCTCGTTAAAAACCGAAGGTTGTCTCTAGAATGACATGTCGTTTAATCCCCAATTTTCTATGCAATTAATCACTAAATGGTGTGCCAAAATTTAGGTGTCAACATGCGGCAACGTTCTGAAATCCATTGGTGACGGCTATAGTCCCTCGTGTGATCATGCAACAAGCAACACACATTTCCGGTTCTTATCTGGATCTTATTAACTCACGCAAACGTGCGGTGCTCGTGTAATTCATGCTCTCTATGACAAATTGCCCAACATGCAAGGCACGGTCGAGGGCACGAGACTCGGTCCACCATGCCGAATGCCGGCTCGGAGCTGGACTCAACCCGGTTCTACACCCCTCAATGTAAAACCCGCACCAAGCCTAGCTTGTCCTGGAACACCACAACATGAGTACGAGATCATACGACATCCCGTTTCGTGCCTCGGTTGTGCCATGACTCACGGCCACATGCAAAATAACAAAACATGTGCAAACTCTAAGCATCACAAACATAGTAACTCCTCGAGTCCAAATGCGCAACTCTACGTCCTAACCAAAGTATAGGGAATTCACTTACTACTCGGGGGCTCTATGGTATTTAGTGATGGTGCGGTGGTGAGAGTGAGTGACCGGAAAAGAGATGGCCGAGAATGAGAAAGATGGAGGCCGAAGGAGTAAGAGGCCGAGAGAATAGGGAGAGGAAGAGAGGCTTGCTCGGTTTTGGGGAAAAGAAGAATGTTGCTTGGTGTTTCTCTATTTATAGGCCAAGACTTCAATAATTATCATGCTAAGTGGTCCAATGAAATTCATTCAAGTGGCACATAATAATGAGAAGCAATCTGATGTGGACATCGTGCCATATCGAGGAGGAGGTGCTAGGGACCCATTGTCCTATCCTCTTGGTCCGATTACTCGAGCAAGGGCGAAGCAATTCAAGCAAGCTGTTGGCATCATGGTTCGAGATCTTTGGAGTGGAAGCGATCTTGGATCGGGACTTAAAGAATCTTGGACCTCTTGGCGCAACACAATCAAATTTGGTCAGTTGCAAGGAAACGGGCCGCTGATTAATACTCACCGATAATATCGTGATGGATGTCTTTTTTTCACGTTTCGGAGTAGTTTTGATGTTTTTTTTTAAAGTTTTTTTTATTTAAGCGCTTTTATTAATTCTAGTGGCGTTTTTGTAATTTTGCGTTTAGGGTTAATACCATATAAAAAGGGTGTTTAGGGTTTCTTTGGAAGGAGGATGATTCACTTTAATACAACGAGAGGTTCTTCTCTTCTTTGAGTTCTCTGTGGACTTAACCTTGTCAAGGCTTTCCTTGTGGCGGTCGATTCGACTAATCGAGTAGGATAGTGAATTCTCTTGTTCGTGGCATCTATAACGTCGATTGGTTGACACAAGTTCGTCAACAGGTCACGTTTATACCGAGGTTACCAATCACAGGTTCGATTGGGGGTCGAGGTTTTGCGATTCGCACTTTTCAGATCTTCGTAGAACGATCAACTTCCGCTCAAATTCACTTCATCTGGTATCAGAGCCCAGGTTCTACAAGGTCTAGTTATCCTAATTTTGTTACTTTTATTCGGCAAATTGAGAATTATTGAACTAGGATCTCAGATTTTAACCGAATTAGGGATCCAAATCGTTCTTGCTGTATTTTTTTTTCTTTTCGGTCCTAATGTGTCTTGATTGTATTTGAGTTCGTCAAAAAAAAAAAAAAAGAGAAAGCCAAACAAAAAAAAATATCAACCGAAAAGAATCGAGAAGACGACTCGTTTGTTAGTTAGACCGAACTGAATTAAAAAAAAGTATAAAAAATTGAGTTTGAATTTGACAAT